CCATAAATAACTAGCTCTCATCAGGATTGGCGTTCTATCCGGGTGGTATAGGCTTACGGGAAGTCCTCCAGTTATTTTAATATGTTCTGTCACTTGGCAATTACTGTGGAAACTGTGATCTAAACTTGTCAGGAATTGAACCTATGTACCCAATTCTCTATGCCAAGGTGTCCCCTGTTGCAAATTATTTGGTTCACGGTATAGACGGCCGGAACCATATCATTTATTGCAGTCTCTCTATGGGACAGAAGAGGAAAAAAAAAATACCAAGCAGTGATGATTGGAACAGAAACCAATTGAGGAACCATCTCGTTCAACGCCAGTCCTCTATGACCGAGAAGAAAAAAAAAATACCAAGTGGTGACGATCGGAATAGAAGCCAACCGTGAAACATATCATTAAACGCCAATCCCAATGACCGGGAGAAAAAAAAGGGACCCATTACCATCCCGTCCTCGTGACAGCGTATCTCACTTGCGTTTTTAGAGATCCAATTCGATTACCGTAAGAACTCGAATAAACGATCCTTGTGCTAGGACGTTGGACTTGCCTCTCTGAGTAAGGTCTGGTATTTTTTTCTTTTTTATTTGTCTCGGAGATGGGTTCTTTTGGTGTGGTTTTCGACCCTTTTCCGGAGGAGGAAATTTTAGACTACCTAGCACAAGGATCGTTTATTCGAGTTCTTACGGTAGGTGCTTTAGGTCGCTCATTTCAGACTTGTGCCAAAGCTTTAAGTGTTCCAGCTTATCGTCCATTTCAGACTTGAAGCGTTCCAGCTTATCGTCTGTCCTTTTTTCGGCAGCGGTGACGACTTTTTCCATGTGTTCCCTCGTTGCCTTAGCCATTTGTATATCGTACACCATGACTTCGTAAGCGAGCTGTATACCAGTGTCAGCAGAATAACTCAGAAAACCAGAGCATACAGGCGAGCTTACCCCCCAAAGCCAAACAAAATCGTCCCACCAGCAATTGACACCAGGAGTTTTATCCACCCTTCGATTCTGCTGAAACCATCATTAATGGCTTTTCGGTGAATCCCAACTTCCTTTTTACTATTATTTAGCATGTGTAAAACTAATTGTGATTTGATCCTTACGGTTTCCAGGGAAGCCAAACGTTCCAATTCCGACATCTTTGGGGCCTCATGTTTCATCGGCACTTCTCCAATGAGTTCGTCAATGACCTTTCTCTACAAATCCATCAAATTAGCATCTCTCACTGAACAACCGTCAAAATTTTCACTTACCTGCACGGTGTGACCAAACTTGCGAGGGAAATGAGTGGTACGATGATAAGGGATGAATCCTTGACGAAAACCTAGCTGGCGTGCGAGATTGAAAGCCATGATTTTTGTGTTTAACGTGCAGGGGGGAGAAGGTTGTTGTGTTTAACATGCAGGAGATAAGGAGAAGGTTGAGGATAAGGAGGACACGACTGGCAGAAAAGAATCCCGGAGCTTAAATTCCCCACAGAGCCAAGCCAGTTACCCGGAAAACGCAACCGGTACTTCCTTGGGGAAGAAGACACTTCGCTTTTCCTTACTAAGACCCCGCCCTTCCCCAGCTCCCAAGAATACCATCAACCGACCTTACTCAATAACTCCCCGTCTGTTAGTGCAAGCAGCAGCGAGCGGAGGATGTCTCAATATACCATCGATAATAGCACCAACATTTCTAATAATAAGAGCTCTTTTAATGTACAGAATAGCTATGTTGTTGCGGATGATCGGGCTCAACTCCTGGCCTAGTTATCACCCCTAGAGCCCAGGGTACGGCATCAAGACATCCAAGAGTGTCGTGTCGATAATGTAGGAGAATGGGTCATGCAGACTGACGAATTCAGAAAGCGGCATGGCAAGAGTGGTAGGGGTGAAGATAATAACGCAGTCTTGTTTTACTAAGGAGCAAGACATTTGTCAGGTAACAAGAATTATTCATTGGGGAGGAAGGAGAGTCAGTGCTAACAAGCCGCGATGTCAGTTTGCTAGCAGTGGACAGGTTGTGCGATCAGTCTAGTGGACAAAGCAAAGCCGTTGCATGTTTTTAATTTGACTTTACGACTCGGAAGAGCAGTCTGCGACCAGTATGCTAAGTTCCTTGCCGAAACAAGTCGTGGGCGGGGTGGGAGGGACTCCGGGGGATATATCACAGGCCTTTCAACGATGGAAAGAGGTCATTGGTTGGCGAGGGCAGCGACTGCCGGGTATCGTGAAGATGTTACATGCCACCACATCCTTACTACGCACATTTGTATGCATAGACACCCTGGACGAGTGTGCAGCAGTGCATCGGGTCAAGCTCCTTGATTCGCTGAAACAAACGCTCAATAATTCACCGCGCACACGAATATTCACTATTGGAAGACCTCATATTCGGGCCGAGATCAAGTAGCGTCTCTCTGGGTGAGTAACCAGTGTATCTCTAGGTCCTAGAAAAGACGATATCATTAAATAGCCTCGCGTTAGACTGGACGAAGATGTAACGCCAGATGCTATGGACGAGAGTTCAAAGGCAGACATTCTAGAGAAGATTCCGGAAATTATGTCGGAAATGTAGGTAGGCGATAATATCGGGCCCACCTCACACTATTTGCTAATAGATATGTATTTAGGTTTCTATTAGCTTCCCTAAATATCGACGACGCAATCTTGCACAAATCGACAATCTCTTGGAGACGAGAAAGGCTAAGCAAAATAACAAATCGATTAAATCGGGAGATGTTTACGGTGCGACGATCGAGCAGATAAAGGCGCAAGATGGGGGCAAATTAAGGCTTAGGATGGTAGTGTTGATGTGGGTTAGTCATGCAGAACCGCCATTGCGAGCAGACAGGCTCTGCCAGGACCTAGCAGTCACGCTAAGCCCCACGGGTTCCTATATTGGTAACGTTCCTTTGATATCAACACTGGTTGGCTCTAGTCAAGAACTTATTAGGGTAGATAGGAGTCATCAACCGTGCGATTGATTCGCTTTATTCTCCAGGAGTATTTGTCCTCTGGTTTCGATGTGTTCGGCAAAACCTCACTCGGCAATGGCCGAAATCTGCTTGACTTATCTGAATTCCCAACAGGTCGAAGCCCTTTTGACTGCCCTTTTCCTGATACTCAGAACGCACCCTTTCTAGAATATGGTTCAATATACTGGAGAGTGCATGCAAAAAGGGAGCTCTCGGACTACGGGTGCTCACTTTCGCTGGAACTATAATAAGAGAGAATTATGGCCAGATATCGAGCGGATTACTTTTTGCCCAAGCGAAGCACTTCCATCTCCGGAGTTTTGATGGCCTCCCTCTGTTCAGCTGACTGCACAGCGCATCGTTCTTGGGAATTTTTGAGGTATAGCTGGTGTAATATCAATGGAATGTTATGATATCAATGACATGGGTTTTTCGGGTTGTGGGCCGCTTGGATGGGCACTCGGAATGGACATGAGGGAGTGGTGAAAACACTGCTCGGGCAGGGAGGGATCAGCTCTGATATGCTAGATAATGACGGGGAACACCGCTCTCGTTTGCCGCTGAGGGTGGACGCGAGGAAGTGGTGAAAATATTACTCGGACGAGAAGAGCTCAATCCCGACAAGCCGAATAACAGCGGCCGAACACCGCTTTCTGTTGTCGCTCAGAATGGACATAAGGGAGTAGTGAAAATTCCACTCAGACGGGAAGAGGTCAATCCCAACGGGCCAGATAATGATGGTCGAACACCGCTTTCCCGTGCAGCTTGTTTTGGACATGAGGGAGTTGTAAAAAATACTCCTCGGATGGGAAGAGGTCAACCCTGGCAAGACGAATAATCACAGCCAAATACCACTCTATTTTACCACTCAGAATGGACCTTAAATTAGATTCAGGCTGAGGACTGCGATAGGCCTAG